GAGCACCAAGCTAGAAAAATACACCATTGCTAAAATTAATGGCTGATTTGATCTGCTTTTTTTGCTGAAAGGATATTTGAAGTTATTGTTGCTGACCATGTCCATGTCTTTATGAAGTGTATCCATCTTCTGATGGTTGCTCCCACACACATCATAAAGCTCAAATAATCTCAAACTGATTTCATGAACATGAAAATGAGTTCCCTGTACTCAAATTACCTCCATATTTAATGTCTTCTTCATCCAATACAGCACCTATGGGATGTGGTGAAACAGGAGATGTTTACACTCAGCCTTGGAGACAGGAGAAGAAGGTCGCCGAGAAGGGGCTTGGAGTAGAGCCACTACTCCTCTACATCAAAATGAGCCAGTTGAGGTGGTTCATCTGACCATGATCCCTCCTGGATGCCTCCAAGAGGAGGTATTTGGGACATGTTCTACTGCAGAGGTTATATTTTTCAGCTGGCTTTGTAGTCCCTCCAGAAGAGTTAGAGGTCGTCACCAGGGACAGGGTCTTGATGTCTGCTGAGACAGCTGTACCCAAGACCTGGACTTGGATAAGTGGAAGGAGACTATGGATGGATGGATGTTGGATGTAGGGGTGATCTACCCCAGCATTTAACATAATGCAAATGACTACAAATTAGAACAGGAGTGTCTTAATCATAACTATAGTCATAAGAAATTCGAATGGTATTTGTTAGGCTCACCAAGTTCTAAGGTAAAATATATTTTTTACACCGTCCCAACTCTCCAGTAGATTTGAAATATGTTATTGTCTTAGCTCTTGGAGCTGCATTAGAATGTGAGTGCGTGCAACTACGCTGGTCGTATCGGATTGTAGAGGTGTGTTTGTGTGTGTGCAGCCGTGCATAAACAGCTTGGCTAATACGGGAGCAGAGGCTAGACGTCATGGATCAGGAGTGAACCCACACACGGAAACACACAGAGAGGTGGATGCAGATCAGTTCAGCTGTAGACACGGAGGGAGCAGGTTTAAAAAAACTTATTTGTATCACAGTTATAGTACCTCTAATAAAAGGTATTGCAGAAGAAGTGGAAGTCACAAAACTGGTAGCAGTGTTATTAATAATAACAGTTTATGTTTTTAGCAGAAAGAGATCCCAGTGATTCCTAAGTAACTGAATTCAAGGTAAGACCATATTCATTCATTCAAATGATATTTTTCAGGGAAGATTGTATGCCTTTCTTAAAAGATCATTCGTGAAAGGCTATCAAGCATTATTTGTTTTACCTTAATCTTATTTTTAGTCTAACCTTAAATGAACATTTTCGAAAACCTTAACTGAAACTGAATCTAATCTTTCCTAACCTCAGGATGAACCTAAACTTTACCTAACCTTATCTGAACAATCCATACGCTTAATCAAACCTAAACATAATCTTTCCTAATGTTAAGCTGAACCTAATTTTGACCTGTCTTCATTTTAGGATTAATTGAACCTCATCCCAGCCTTCATGGCCTTGATTAAACCCAAGCTCTCTCTCTCCTGTGATAAGAATAAACCAATTTTAGATTTATCTTACTCTTACTAGATTTAATTTACTCTTAATTTAAATTAAGCCACATTTTTGCATACCATTTATGCAAAACTTTTATTGGAATTATTAAAAGACATAAAATCTTGACTTTCATCCAGGATCCAGGGTCCCAGTCCCCTGTAGGACTGTTACTTTGGGACTTTTGTTTTGCTTTGTTTTGGGCTTTTCATTTTCAGTAGCTGTTGTATTTAGCCTTGCTCCAACATGAGGTGCCAGTTGAGTGGTTTCCAGCCTGAGAGTTGGGCATACCAAAGAGTCATCATTCTTCTGAAGTGTTGTTCGCTCAAACCAATAAAAACTACACAACCTCATAATTTTACAATTTTATACAAGGCTATAAAAGTTCTAACTAAGAAACCACTGTGATTTCATCATTGTTATATATTCTTTTTTAATATATGTATGAAAATCAGTGATCGTATGACAATCAGATTCCTGTTTCTAGCTGACAGGAGTGACACCTGGTGTGGTCTTCTATCGCTTTAGCCCATCTGCCTCATGGTTCAAAGTGTTGTGCATTCAGAGATGCTCTTCTGCATACCTTGGTTGTAGCAAGAGGTTGTTTTAGTTACTGCTGCCTTCCTATCAGCTCAAAACAGTCTAACCTCAACTGACCTTTGACATCAACAAGGTATTTTCACTCAGCGAACAGCCATCCAGTGGATATTTTCTCTTTGTCAGACCATTCTCTGTAAACACTGAAGATGGTTGTGTGGTAAAATCCCAGATCAGCCTACACTGTATCTGGCACCAACAAGTATGGCACGTAAAAAAGAGTTCAAATTAGTACAAGTAGATTTAAAGTATTTAAATCACATTCTGCCACTGATAATGTACAATGTTTATTACAGGTACACTTAGTCGAATTGAAATAAAAAAAACAAAACACTTAAACTGTGCTTTGATTTCATTTATTGTAAATTTTATTTTTTTTAAATTCCCCTTTGATTATCATCTTCTTTTTCCTTTACTATTTCTTTCCTTCTCCTCACTCGACAGTAAGGTGATCTGTCTCAGCCACAGTAAAGGTCAAAGGTCAGGTTAGGGGAGTTTGTAACAACAGGAAGTGTGTGTGTGTAGCCAATAAATATTTAATAGAGACGAATAAGCTGTCTTGGAGGATGGATATATCACTGTGTGTGTGTGTGTGTGTGTGTGTGTGTGTGTGTGTGTGTGTGTGTGTGTGTGTGTGTGTGTGTGTGTGTGTGTGTGTGTGTGTGTGAGTAAATGATTAGGATCATTTATTGAAGAAACTGATTTATTATTGATAAGATTATGAAAGCCATTAATAACAGCAAATTGCATTATTGATTAGAGCCAATAATGCAGCTGCTGAGGTTCTGAAGCTCTTTCCAAAACAAACACATGCAGTCGTTTCTCCATTGCTTCAGAAGACATTACAACTGTCTGAAAATGAACAATAGGCTGCTCAATGTTTTTTACCTGAAAGGCTTCATATTGTGAGGTTATTATCTTACACTCAGTTAGCTTATCTTCTTATTTATTAGTCCTTTATTTATCCAGGTAAAACATCTCATTGAGATTAAAAATATCATTTCCAAGAGAGACCTGGCATCATGGCAACAAAAGTCAAAATACACATACCGCATAAGTATATAACATTTAAAACAAATACAATATCCCATACCAACATGTGAAAAATATACAATAACATATCAAATTAAGAGTGACATTAAAAACAATCACACTGAGTAAAAGAGTTATTCTCTCGTTCCTTTAAGACAGACTTAAACTCTTCCAAACCAATTCTGATAATTTCAGTTCCTTCTGCAGATTATTCCAGGAAGCAGGGACAGCGTATTTAAAAGCATTTTTCCCCAATTCTGTTCTGAGTTTTGGGACAATCAATTGTATGATATTGTGAGAACGAAGGCTGTATTGGTTGTGGTTTTTACACATATAAACATATAAATAAGATGGAACCAGCCCAAGGAGAGATTTATAGATAAAGATCAACCAATGGGAGAGTCTGCGAATATGCAAAGAACAATGATGTACACGATTTCCACAGCCAGTAATAAAACGTAAAGCACAATGGTACACAGTATCCAACCTCTTTAGGTAGTGGGCAGGTGCATTCATAAAAAGCAGGTCACCATAATCCAATAAAGGTAAAAAAGTTGCATGAATCAAGTGTTTTCTCACTTGGAGGGAGAAACAGGATTGATTTCTAAAAAAGTAACCTAGTTTTAACTTCGACACAAGCCTTTGAATGTGAGTCTTAAATGACAAATTCTGATCTATAATGATCCCTAGATACTTGTAAGATGTGACCATTTCAATTTCAGTTCCTTGAATTGTTTTAATCTTAGGAGACGTAGCTAACAACTTTTTGCCATTTGATAATAACATGAACTTGGATTTCTCTGGATTTAACACCAACTTAAGTTGAGTTAAATGGGACTGAACATGATCAAAGGCAGACTGCAGAAATTGCAGGGTTTGTGCTACTTAAGGGGATGAACAATAAATAATTGTATCATCTGCATAAAGATGGAAGGCTGCATTTGACAAATTATCACAAAGGTTGTTTATGTAAAGAGAAAATAGCAATGGCCCTAATATGGAGCCCTGCGGAACTCCTTTGGATACTGAGAGAAAAGAGGAAGAAGACCCAGCAGCATGGACACACTGTTTTCTTGCTGACAAGTAATTTGAAAACCAGCTTAGAGCATTTACAGATAGACCAATATTGTTTAGTCTATTTAATAAAATAGCATGCTTAACTGTATCAAAAGCCTTTGACAAGTCAAGAAAAAGAGCAGCACAGTAATTTACACTTACTCTGATCTTCACATGGCCTAAAACTAATCTCACTCTAAGTTTTTTGTATCCAAACAATTCCTTCCTTTCAATCTGATTTTAACCTTAATTTATTAGGGTACATCTTTATCCTAATCTTAAATCAAAGCTTTGGTTAAAGCCAAGATTAATACGAACATTAAATTAAACCTAACTTGAACCACAACTTAGTGTCATGGCTACTGGACGGACTCACGCGCAGTCAGTTCTTTCTATGAGAACAAAAGGAGATTATTTATTTACAACAGGGATCACCTCAGTGCTATATATGTACAGTGAGTTGGGAGGGGGGGTCCAGGGCTCCAGGGAGAGAAGGGGGGGGGGGGGGGGGATCCACACACACACGCTTCCTCTTCAATGTTAGTTGAACGTTCTTCAACAGAATTCAACGTTAGTTCCACAACAAAATACACACAGTGGATTCTTTTGAAAATGGCGAGAGCACAAACTCAGGCGGTTCAACATTCCAGTGGTGAGCTGCTCTGTGCCACTGCCTTAAATAGCAGCTGGGGAAATCAGCCAGATCAGCAGCAGGTGGAGACAATCACACAGGTGCGTGGGCCAATAGCGAGAGCCCGTAACGAGCTCCACCCAGGCAGAGAGGAGGAGGAGAGACAAAGAAAACAAAAACAAAAAAGAACAACAACAACAAAACCTGTAGCCAGTGTGAGCCAACCAGAGACACGGGGACCTTTGCTTAGGTTCATCTTAAGTATTTGCTTGACCCAAAATTAGCCTGTATTTATCCTAACCTTAAACATTATCCTAACTTCCCCTAACTTTAATCTAGTCAAGGATTAATCCTTCAATGATTAACATTAATCTAACATACCCCATTAGATTTCCCCCCATTTTCTGATTTCTTGATATAAATCTGCACCAAAACTTAAACTCCTCTAAGCTTGATGCTACTGTACTCTTGTCCACCAGATGTCATGGCGATCATCCTTTCGCTGCTCAAAGTTTCGTCACATTTTTGGAAAGTCTGCCACCAAGGAGCACAGCTACGACGGGGTGCCAATCACGCGTAGTGTCCACGACAACCACTACTGCTCAGCCAATCCCTGCTTCATCGCTGTGGTGACTGAGTGCGCGGGAGGCGGGTCCTTTTTAGTCCTGCCCATCCATCATGTACATAGGCCTTTTTAATTTAATTTCCTCTGAATTAACATAATAAAGGATAAAAAAAATGGGGAAACCTAAATTTTTAAAATTGTTTCATGTTCTCTCTCTCAGACAGGCAGAGTAGATCCTCAGCATCCGAGGGTTTGTGGCCACAGCGGCAGAGTCCTGGACGTCAAGTGGAATCCATTCGATGATTACTGCATCGCCTCATGCTCAGAGGACTGCACTGTATGGCAGTTAGTTAACGACTAACTAGGATTAACTTTGGAATTCGATTTAGGATAAGGATGGGGTTAAATTATTGGGAATTATATAACGTTTAGTGTACAGCACATACACTTTGGTCCTGTGCATGTATTCAGGTGAAGATCTGGGATATCCCAGTCTGTGGAGTCCAACAGAACCTCACCAAGGCCAGGAAAACCCTGATTAGCCACTCCAGAAGAGTGGGGCTAATTGAGTGGCATCCAACTGCTGAGAACCTTCTGCTAAGTGCTGCCTATGACTACAAGGTCAGTGCCAATCATATAACATTCTGGCTTAAATGAGTACCGTATTTTTGTTAAAAGAAACCGTCTTTGCTTTTGTGTTGTATTCAACTTCCTTCAATATATCATATGAACATAATGCACAGAAATCTTAGAGAAAAAGCCAATGGTTGGCATAAAACTTTTCTATAATAGACACCTTACAAGATTGAACCAGTAAAGAAAGTATCAACACAAGAGAACCAAATGTTAAAGAGCTACACTCTACAATCAGTAATTCCAGTGCATTTAGGCTGCAAAACAGATGTGAATTTGTCTCACTTACTGCTCCAGGTCCTTCTCTGGGATGTATCCCAGGCTGGTGCAGTTATCAGGTATCCAGTTCGGGTGGTGCTGATGCCCATCCACCACCGCTACCCATCTGAGGCACTGCTGCTTTCAGTCAGCTTCAACAGTGATGGCAGCAGGCTGGCAGTCACATGCAAAGACAGACACGTTCGAGTCCTGGACCCTCGGACAGGAAAGATTTTACAGGTATGATTATTGTATCTGAATGCGAGTCCTGACAGAAAATTGCCAGGAAGGTAACTGATACTTCTGCAGGTATCAAGCAGTAACTCACACAAGGCCAACAAAGTTTTATACATCGGGGGGTTGAAGTTGCTTCTGTCCACTGGCAGCTCATCTTGGAACCACCGGCAGATCGTCCTGTGGGACCCTGTAAGATAGTTTTTTTCCTTTCAACTGTAATCTGAAACTTAATCTAAGCTGTGCTTGTTCTTAAACCTGAATCCAATTATCAGCATTTTCTAGGAGTAAGAATACTTGGGTCGTAAGACATGATTAAAAAAGAGATTGCTGAAAATGAGGCACATAGACAAAAACAAATAAATATATAATAAACATATAAAATTAAACAGCTGATAATAAAAACTGCTTTCTTGTGAAATGATTTAAGAGAATCTCACTGGAGAATTAATTATATAACTGTATATCTCAATTGAGCAACTTTTGCATATTTTAACTTGATTTTTTTTCCCTTTACAATTTGCTCTACATTCATTCCCATATGTGTTTTCATGCAGGATGACTTATCTGAACCCTTATATGAAGAAGATCTGGATGGGTCAGCTGGAGTACTCTTCCCGTTTTATGACCCAGACACACACATGTTGTATCTGGCTGGAAAGGTCAAAAAACATAAACTGCTTGTGGCAAAATGTGCCGTTAAATTTGAGTAACCATCATCAAGGAGGTTTAGCACCACTGTATATGTTGTATTTATGCTTGTAGGGTGATGGAAACATCCGGTACTATGAGCTAAGTGCTGAAAAACCTTACATCAGCTACCTGACTGAGTACAGGTCCCTGCTGCCACAAAAAGGACTTGGTGAGACCAACACACACACACAAGTGTGTTAGCTAGTAAATGACATAATTTATACAGCTGCCAGTCCAGCTTTGTTCCAGCTCTCACCTACAGTCATGAAATCTGGGTAATGACCAAAAGAGGAAAGTCATAAAATGCCGTCCTACAGAGGAAAGTCATAAAATGTCACAAAATAAAAGAGTAGGTCGACTCTCCCTAAGAGCTAAGGTGAGGAGCTCAAACATAAAGAGTAGAACAGCTGCTCCTCCATGTTGAACTCTGGGCATGCCCAACTGGGTGGAGACTCCGGAGTAAGACCTGCTCATCAGGTAGAACCAGAACAAGATGGGGCCAGCGACCCCACTCAGATAAGTGGAAGAAAATCAGCGAATCGATAGATATTCCTCCTTTTCCAACTTATCATGAAGTCATGCAAATTCTGGCTTCATACTATGACAATTGGGAATCAGGTGAGCCTGGTATCAAAATGTAGGTAAATAAGAGAGTTTTGAGTTTCCATGACTTCTTCTGACCAGACATCTAATCACATGGTGACATGACCCTTTGGATTTTTACCCAAAATGCTGTTTGAGTCAAACTTGGGTAAATCATCAAAGCAGATCAAACATGCTTGTCTCTTTTACTCTCTCACAAACATTAAATTGGTTCCATGTTGTTATTATAACTATCAGATATTCAAGGATATTGGTTCTTTGATTGGATATGAAAAAAATCATAGAGCATTGTGATCCTCTTGAAGTGAATGTAACAGTGATTTGGTTGCAGTTTTTAACAAACCTAAAACTTTGTATCCAACTCATCATCTATACCTATACTCATTTCAAGGTACCGACACAATTTTAAGAAAGCTTGTCTAAGTTCATTCACAGGCACTTTGATGCTGATCTAACAAACTTGACTTAAATGTCGACTTTGATGGATAATTTCCTTCACTGTTTCAATGCTACATCCTGCGGTCATGTTAACAGCTGGAAGACACCAAGAACCAAGCTTCTGCCCCAACAACTCAACAAATGTTGGTCAATCGTCGTCTTTTCATGCCTGTTGGTCATCCTACATTTCTGAAACTGTCTTATGTCTGGTTGCAAGACTGTTAAGGCATTCTATGCAGGACCAGTCTTCTGCCTGAAAAACCCATGCCTTGCTCCACCACCCTCTCACCAACCTTTAAATATTGATGTTGTCGTTTTTTAAAGTCTAGACTTTCATGTTGTAATAATAGAAAAAGGCAAAGAGTTTAGTGTCACTTTTAGAATATCCACAATACTTTATGACACAGGACTAAAATGTGTTTTGACGTCTGACTCACTCCAGGGGTGATGCCAAAGCGTGGCCTAGATGTGACCGCCTGTGAGATTTTCCGGTTTTATCGCCTGATTGCCATCAAAGACCTGGTGGAACCACTGTCCATGATCATACCACGCAAAGAGGTTGGGATGATGTACTTATCTTGAGTATAATCAGAGTACAAGAAGTATTGGTCCAGTTTTTTTCTTGTTCCTTCCAGTCAGGAATTTTTCAAGAGGATCTGTACCCAATGACAGCTGGAAACCAGGCAGCCATGACCGCTCAGGAGTGGCTGTTGGGGGTCAACAGAGGTCTGTAACCTAGCTGGGCCATCAGGTACACTAAAGATATTTACTCTCTATAGATCATTCAGTTTATCACTGATCTCTTACATTTCCTCACCAGGCCCAGTGCTGATGTCCCTGAAGCCAGACCCTCGAGTACCCAACCCTTACCCAGAAACCCCAGCTGAGAAGGGGCTGGTGAGGCAGCTTAGCTCCCTCAGGTTTCAGAGCAGCCCGGCTGCAGTGACAGAGATAGGCCAAGACTTTATAGAGGAGGTAAAGTGTGATCTGGTTATTTTACCTGACATTGCAGGGTAAAATATACCAATCTGGGGTGCCTTTTCTTGATTTTAAAGTGGTACACAGTTGTGTGAAAAAGTGCTTGGTCCCTATCTTGTTTCCTGTTTTTTAGTATGTTTTTTCACACTTAAATTTGTAACAGTAAAAGGCTGTAAAAATATCTGTAAAGATCACCAGTTATTGTAAATACTTGATTGGTGTTGTTGCTGCTAAGTATGGCCCAACAGGTTATTAGGTTTAGGGGGCAATCACCTTTTCACACAGGGCCATGTAGGTTTGGATTTTTTCCCTTTAATAATAAACACCTTCATATAGAAACGGCATTTTGTGTTTACTTGTGTTATGTTTGCCTAATATTTAAATTTGTTTGATGATCTGAAACATTTAAATGTGACAAACCTACAAAAAACAGGAAACTGGGAAAGAGGGGAAATGCTTTTTCATGCCACCGTACTCTTTTTAGAAACTTCTGTTTCCTTTAGACAAACTAGGAAATATGTTTTGCTACAGTAACCGTCACATCCTTCGAAACTGACCTGAGACCTGAGCCTTTTTTGGAGAGTAGTTCTCTGATACTTTTGTTGCTGTTCTCTGTTGAGGTTTTTCTGGAGGAGCAGCTGTCCTATCAGGATGCCAAATATCCCAAAGATCTGAGCGATCTGTCGGGGTGGCAGCCAGACGAGACCCAGGTCCCACTGTGGACATACTGCTGCACCCCGCACTGCTGCGAGCCTGCTGAGAGACCGCCACCAATGACCGAGTGTGAGGTTGGATAAATAATAAAACACTTCAGAAGAGTGTCTCCTTCTCTTGCACACAAACTCAGTCCTAGTTTTTTCTGTTTCAGCTACTCCAGGCATTTTACAAGCAGCAGGATGAGATCAGAGGCCTGAAGGAGGAGCTCCATCAGAAAGACGTGAGTTCACAAACAGTACGTTATCAGAATTTCTTGTCAGATACTTTTTTATATTTTTGTGTTTTTACGTTCTGCAGATGAAAATTGCTCAGCTGAAGCAGGATATCAAAAACACCAGAAAGAACATGAGAGCGACCTTCTGATTCAGACCCTGCTGTGTAGGAGGGGCTTACAGAGACAGCGTGACCCACAGACAGCGGAGTTATCCTCCACAGACTGGACTTTGTAGTTGAAGCCACAACTCTTGTTTTCCTAAAATTCCTGAATATGGTTTATTTGAGAGCAGAGACTATTTTCCTTCATACTTCACAAACTACCTGAAACACAATGGTCACCATCGAATATAAGAAACCCTGCGTCTGGGATGATGGGATGCAAAAATGCTAATTTCTTAAAACTCTTGAATTAAAGCTGTCCAAATACTTATGGAGCTAAGTGTAATTATGACCACATGCAAGGTGCAGTGATGTCAGGCAGCAGACACACACCACCTGCTCTAGTGACTTTTACTGGTGCAAGCAGGTTGGAAACAATGGAAGGGGCAGAAGGACACAGATCTTCTTGTTAGCAGTTTGCAAACTAATTTCAAGGGTAAGATACATGACCTTGCTGTTTTGGTAGGCCAAAAGAGCTAAAATGCATAAATCGCAAAACTCATGAAAAACACAGTGTGAGTGTGCAAAAAATGTTGAATGAAGTTTGGAACTGGACTGCATGAAAATGTTTGATGTAGTCACCCAGGGTTTCTGGACTCTTTGAAGCCTCAGTCCTGTGGTTTCATTGAATACTCATTAAAATGAATGTAAGACCAATAAAATATGAGTGTTTCCCTCAACAAAACTGAAGCACTATTTGTTTTGGGTGGTCTGCAACACACATAGAGCCATATCATTAGTCAGGTAATTACATTATGTAATATTATGTTCCAGATCAGCACACACACAGCTCCCGTGTGCCGGAAATTTAGCTATGAAGACCAAAAATGTGTTTCGCACCAGGCTGTAAATGTTCTTGTTTCTGCTTTAAAGTTTGTGATGAGTGACTCACTCCAGTGGCCATTAGAGGAACTGCAGTTTTCTGACTTAATCGTGTTTCATATTTAAAGTTGATTGATCTGTGACGTCACATCAGCTTGCGGAAATAAATGTTTTAAAATCCAGCACAGACCTGACACAGAACGTCAAAGATGAGAAAAGGCTGAGGGACAAAAATCAGAACTGGACTGAACAATCAGTGAAAACAGATCTGATGGAGTCATGAATCTGATCTATAGAAGAACATGGGGCAGCTCTGTTATGGTTTTGCTCTGCATTTCAGCCTGTGGGGTTCTTGTCACAGAACCATTTGGTCCACTGTGTATATGTCCGCACAACTGCAATTGTGCTAAAAAATTGGCCAAAAAATTCAGTCAGCTACATCAGTGTCTACTGTTTACTATCATAGCCAAGTGGCTAACAAACATAAACAGAAGTTTTCACTATCCGTACTAATTAATGTTATCTTGTTGTATCAGGTCAGTGCTATCCTCTATACTGTTGCATGCTGGCAGCAGGTTGAGGGTCACAGATGCCAACAGACTAAACTGACCCACAAGGCCAGTAATGTTGTGGGGATGGAGCTGGACTCCGTTAGGGTGGTGTCTGAGAGGCAGATGTTGTCCAAGATAAGGACAATTATGGATAATACCTCCCACCCACTCCATGACATGCTGGCTAGTCACAGGAGCACGTTCAGTGAGACTGAGATTCCCAACAAGCACCTAACCTCTGTTAATCCTTGATATGTATAATTGAGTGATCTGTATATATTAGTGCGGGTTGGTTATTAGATGCTGCTCCAACCAGCCAGTGAATAACCCGCTGCCCCGCCCTCTCCTCCCTGTGCCCCAAGCAGCAGGTGCACCTCGCATACAGAGGGCGCCCTTCCAGTAAGTGGCCGATAGAAAATAGAGCAGTGTCTATGCCATTCCCAATATGCGCTCATGATGTCGGGGCAGCATGAGAACGAGCAACTTTTTTTGCCGATGCCCGTGATGCCGCCCTGGGCAACTGCCCATGTCACCCATGTCAAAAACCGCTACTGACTGTGAGCTGCGCTGGCTTTAAAAGACTAAACGAGACGGGGGGAGACGAGGACACAAGAGAGCCAGGAGCAAAATGTTAAGATTTTATTTACAAAGTCCTTTTTGTATGTATTTTTTGTTTGCTTTCATTTAACTTACAGAAAGTAAAACACAAAAAAACCAAATCAAAAAGAAAACAACCTCGACTAGGTCAGTGTAAGCTTGAAGGAACATCTGGAGCTCTCTACTGAGGAGACAGAAACTAAAGGAGGCAGAAAGAGGGAGAGGGGGGAGGAAAGAGGCAGAGCGCTTCCCCAGACAACCATACAAAAATTAAACAAAAACAAATTCCTCTGAAAAAATATTTCTTTTAAAAAGCTCTGTTGGCAAAAAAAGACAACACGGTTTGCCCTGAGCAGGTTTGGCCTTGGCAACAGGAAGAGGGAGGAGGGTGGGTAGCTTTTTTTGTTTTTTTAAGATTGGCTTTAACACAATGATGTCATCAGAGCGACGAGCTACATCACAGACCGATGACATCAGGGGAAGAATAAGGAAATGGAGTTGGGTTCAGATTTCATTAATTCATTTATTAACTCCTCATGTTTTTATTGTCTTGTAAAAAAATAAAAGAAACCACGCCCACATACAATGGAAAAAAAAGTTAAGGAGAGACATTTATTCTCAGGAGGAAGAGGAAAACTGACGTAAAGTCTGCAACGTTTTGTTTTTTTGAGCTTTTCCAGACTGGTGATGCATTTACTGCCCACAAACAAGAGTTGGAATTTAGAGTTCAGATGGTTTCTTTCCTGTTAGCACAAGTTTAGGTTGTTTCCCCCCCCATTTTAAATGTAAACTGTGATGAAACAAACAAATAAACAAATAAAAAACTGTCTAGCTGTATATTCTGATGGAAGATTTGCAGGTTTCCAAAGAAGGCGAAACATCCTCTGGTTCCAGCTTCTAAAAATGTGAGAATCTCTCTGCAGCTTCTTATTTTAATAGCTAAACAAACTCTTTTATACAGTTGATGGTGGGACGAGAAAACAGATACTTTTCTGTTAAAGTGTTTTCTTCTTTCCTGAGTTCACAAAAAATAAACGTGCTGCCATTAAACCAAAAGAATAACACTGCGGCAAAAACAGAGGACTAAATGGAGGCTGTAAGTTGTTGATGACAATGGGAAAAAAAATTTGGCTCAACTTGTGGAAATGAAAGTATTTAAAAAAAGCAAAAAAAATAATTAATGAGGCGTTTTAGACAATAACGGATGTCAATTTGGCAGGCGACAAGCGAGGAGACCAGAGTCAGAAATGGGACGTGGCCCAGAGTGAAAGTGGGAGGAGGCAGAGGGGGAAGAATTGGCAGCAGGGATGAGACATTTAGACTGAGTGGATAAGAGGTCAGCAGGGTTTGCGGGGGTCAGGGAGGGGTCTCTGCAGGCCCTCATTCATCATCGTCATCATCATCCTCGTCCTCGGGGTCCCTCTTCCTCTTTTCTCCTTTGGCTGGAGACGAGTCCTCATCTGCAGGAAGAACAATAGGAGTCTTTTATTTGGCTGATTAGTTACTACTTGGCTACACCTGACTGAACCAACTCAACAGACACCATCAGATATAAATGAGTGTTCGAGTGTTCCTCAAAACAAAGAGAAGTAATAGTGAGGAAAAATACAGGTTTACTCACCATCCTCCTCCTCATCTTCATCATCGTCTTCTTCCTCGCTGTCCACATCTCCGTTCACCTCTCCATCCTGCAGGGACAAAGACTGCTGATGCAAACTCACAGTGCCTCTTCCGAATCAGTCGGAAAGTCCGAGTTCCCAGTTGGAAATGTGTTGTGGAACGCTCCCTCAACTCGGGATTACCCCGCTCGGAAAGTCAGAGCAGACTAATGTACCACAAGCTACAATCAGAGTTTTACTACTGTTTACTGAACGTAAACTGTGAACATTTAAACTGTGCTGCAAAAGCTGTGTATTTTTAACCGACTCAGCCACGCGCAGAACACTGACCAGCCTCTACTCATGAACATGAGAAAAAGCATGATGATGTTTTACTAGTGACGCCTGAATGGTTTTACTTTGCTAAGAACCAAACAAATCCTGCCTTTCGTTGCTTTTACTGGAACCACCTATAGTGTGTGGGGTTGTTATAGCAAACTGTGCTTGGCATACAGCTTTTCGTCAGACTTTGTGTACGTGTTTTCTGACAGTATTGTTTTTAAGTGTAGCCAGTTTCCTTTCTTGTTATCAAACATGACGATTTTTAATTTTCGTGAACAAGAATTAAGGAGACCCTCTCCCGACTCATCAAGCGCACCACAAGCTTCCCTGTTCCTTTCCAAGCAATCTGTGTTTAACCTACAGACACCTGTCGGGTTTTGGAGGACTACATGAAAGCACATGTGTGTACCTATAAACAAACAGAGCTGTTGTATTATAAATTATCCATATGGGTGTTTAACTGCACGGGTCTCCTGGTGGGAGCCAACCTGCCTCCAACCAATCCCAGCGTGCCTGCAGTCACTTTGTCGAGGAGTTTAGAATTAATTATTTATATATGCAGACAGATTCCCAACATGCTGCAAATACTGAGCAACTCTTGTGTCCCTGAATGCAACCTGTCTGCAACACGTCTCTGTGCAGTATGGCACTTAACTGGTTGCATTCTGGTTACATTTCTGAGGTTCTGCCTGGACTTTTCAGAGATTCATCACGAACTGTAACATGTAAACGCCAACTTAACCTCATTAAATTGCAGACTGACTCCATCTTATTGTAGTCTTAATGCACCAAATTCACAGGACAGAGGGCATTTGACTGTGATGAAAGTGGTTTTAGACAGCATGTGGAGGACAGACAAGCAAATACGTCACAGATAAACAGAAGACACTTCGCATCTCATTTCCCCTCCTTTCATCGTTCTTCAGCATTTCTATGTAAATGTTACTGATTTAACTCCAAACTCACCTCATCACCGCTGTCGTCGTCTTCGTCGTCCTCCTCAGCCACTACGTCTTCTTCATCCTCCTCTTCCTCTTCCTCAAAGTCCTCTGACTCGCCCTCTGCAAAATAAAAAGAACTATCTTAATATTACTGTCGCTTTAATTTTCTCTCAGTTTTCTAGAAATCAAACCTTCACCTTCTTCGTCCTCATCGTCGACGCCGTCTCCCTCGCCCTCGGAGTCGGAGGCCTCGCAGTCGTCGATGTCGTAGCCGTCCAGGTAGGTGAGCTGGGGGAGCAGCTTGAAGATGGACTCCCTGTAGTCGGCCAGGTTTGTCACCTCGCAGTTAAACAGGTCGAGACTCTTCAGCTGGGGCAGCTTTTTCTGGAGGGACAAAGACGGACATCCGATCAGTTTTCTGAAAACATTTTCAAAGAACTAATGAAGAAGTACAAAGTGCTGCCCTCGTTTGGCTACAGCACACTGTGTGCAAGTTTGCTTTGGACATAATACTGACGACCCACAGCTCGTGCACTATTATGTCACTACAAGCTGAAACTGCATTATGGACACCTGAGACCAGCACATATATTGTATACCTACATGTCAGTATAAGGATAACAGAGCTGCTGACCGTCGTCCATGTTGGCTGTTACTATAGAAACTGTTTGTTTATATATACATATATAAATGT